TAAAACGGTGTCTCTTCCTAGATTAGAATTATTAGGGGCAGTTTTGCTAGCAAGATTAGCGAATAAAATTTATAAATGTTTCAATGTAGCTCCGGAAAAAACATTTTTGTGGTGCGATTCTACGATAGTTTTGTGTTGGTTGGATGATCAACCCTGTACGTGGAACACGTTTGTGGCCAACAGGGTGAGCGAAATTCAGTCGCTAACAAAGTTAGTGAAGTGGAACTATGTTCCTTCTGAAAAAAATCCAGCTGATATTATATCACGGGGAGTTGAATCAACACAGCTGAAAGGTTCGAGGCTGTGGTGGTCAGGTCCTGATTTTTTATATGAGGGTAGGGAAAAATGGCCTGTTAGACCTACTCTCAATGAACAAGACTATTCTGAAAAGAAAAAGGTGTCTTTGGTGTTAGCGAACGTAGTACAGGATTACAGCATATTCGAACGATTTTCATCATTTGCAAAATTAGTTAGGGTAGTAGCCTGGTGCCGAAGACTATTGAAGAATATGAGGTTACTAAAAAATGATCGACTTCGAGCTCTACTGACTTCAGAGGAAATTGAAATGGCCACGATTTCACTATTGAAATTAATGCACCAACAAGAATTTGCCTCAGAAATATCGACATTGAAAAAACACGGTTCAGTGGGAACTACTAGTAGATTGAAAGGGTTAGACCCATTTTTAGATGAAAATAATCTCATTCGAGTGGGTGGAAGATTGAAAAAGTCTGAATTACCTTATGACACAAAACATCAAATTTTATTGCCTGAACATCATCCATTTACCAAACTGATAATAAAACATGAGCACTTGAAGCAATTACATGCGGGGCCTCAAATGCTCTTAGCGTGTATTAGGCAGAGGTATTGGCCAGTGAATGGTCGAAATAGTGTTAGGAGTGTTTTAACAAAATGTATAACGTGTTATAGGATCAATCCCAAGCCATTGCAGCAAAAAATGGGCGAACTTCCAAGGCAACGAACGATTCAGAATCGTCCATTTGCAATTTGTGGGGTTGATTGTGCTGGCCCATTCAATTTGAAAGATGGGAAGTTGAGAAATCGAGCCATTGTGAAGGCTTATTTATGTATATTTGTTTGTTTCTGTACCAAGGCAGTACACTTAGAGCTTTTGAGTGATCTTACTAGTGAGGTATTTTTAAATGGCTTTAAAAGGTTCGTTTCCCGAAGAGGGCTTTGCTCAGACATTTTTTCTGACAATGGCGGCAATTTTATAGCTGCAAATAAAGACATTCAGAAAACTTTTGTAAATATCACTACATCCTCCGAGGTGAATAATTATTGTATCGACAATGGCATAAAATGGCATTTCATCCCAGCTCGCTCTCCTCATCAAGGTGGGTTATGGGAGGCTGCTATAAAATCGGCAAAATATCATATTAATAGAATTGTGGGGAATGTTCACCTAACTTTCGAGGAATTAACCACAGTATTTGCTCAGGTTGAAGCGGTGTTGAATTCTCGTCCTTTGACTCCACTTTCCTCTGACCCTAATGATATCCTGGCCTTAACTCCTGGCCATTTCCTCATAGGGACAAATCTCAAAGCTGTGCCACAAACAGATCTCACGCAAGTTGCATGTAATCGATTGAACAAGTATCAAGTTCTGCAACAAATAGTCCAGCATTTTTGGGGCCGTTGGCATCGAGAGTACCTATCCACCTTGCAACAGCGAACAAAATGGCGTACCGAAGCTCAGAACTTATTGCAGGACACGTTGGTGGTTCTCAAGGAAGAGAACACTCCTCCGCTGAGTTGGAAGCTGGGTAGGGTGGTAGACTTACATCCTGGCAAGGATGGTATAGTTAGAGTAGCCAGTGTAAAAGTGAGTGGGGGTGGTATCGTAAAAAGATCAGTGCAAAAACTCTGTGTCCTTCCCATTGAAGGAAATTAAGACTTTATATTGACTATGAGACTGAATGTTAATGGTTCTGATTGCAGGTTGTTTTATCTTTTATATCCTCATTAGAATCTTGAAAGATATTTTCAGTTCCATAGTCTATCAAGAAGTAGATTTATTTCTTTTATATGTTTAGGTATTGTATATTTTTTTCATATTTTTTAAGTATGATATTCTATTGAAAGCCAGACCTTTCAAGGGCGGCGGTTTATGTTCAAACTTAACGGTTTTTTATGTAGGTTTGTAAGCTTAAGGTTCTTTCTCGCTTAGACTATTTTCCATATAAGGGCATGCTGTTGATTGTCGAATATGATTGGCTTAAAAGTGTCTCGCCAAATATTTCAAGTATGTCTAGAAAACCAAATGTGAGCATAAATTACATCTGTTTTATATATCTTTTTTGGCTAAGTGCAAGCGTCCCTTCTGGGCTCTGGCACCAATTCGAGTTAGTACTGTTTTCAAGAAGCTGTCGTATAGGCATACACGAATTCGGGTTGTTCTCTGTATATATCACATCAGTCGGAGTTGATTAATAAATGTAGTGTATTAGTCAACTAGTGTTTTATTGATCAGTATAAATCGAGTAGAAAAAATACCGTCTATGACAGACAAGAGCGCACATCACCTTCCTTTTTAATAAAATTTGCATCCGTTTCTTCATCTCCTCCGTCATCTTGAACTTCTTGGTCATCCGACGAAACATCTGATCGAGATGTCTTCAAATTCTGGCTGCACTAACACTTTACCACGTCGAGGGGGATTGATTCTGCTAATGGCCGAAACGGCATTGCTTTGTAATCCAGAAATGAGCCGCTTACGAATTCGACACTCTGGTTTAATTGTGGTGAAATATTTCGAAACGTATCTTTAGTTTTTGTAACGTTTGAGAAATTGTAAAATATCAATTTTTTTTTCTTCTGAATTGGTACGGTCAAAACTTTTGTTTTCATTTTTTCAGTATCTGATACTTTCTGAATGGCACGATCAAAACATTTGTTTTCTTGGTATGCGATACTCTTAACGGCACTAGAATGACTTTGACTGCTTGTGCAAGTACTATTTATTTGTTCAGGGCTAATCCCCCATCAACTCGCATCTTGCTAATTCACTGCACCATACGGGAACAATAATATCATATATTACTCTATTGTTTCGATTTTCCTATCAGTACGATTAATTTTTCGCTTCACAAATTAAATCAACTGTAATGAGATAAAAAGGAAGTCATGGCCTATCTTAACTGAAACTGAATGGGTCTAATTAACCATAAATAGCAAAACATTCATTACTACCAATTTACCAAACTCGCATCTTGCAAATTTATTGCACCATACGGGTACAATAATCTCATATTTCACCTCATTTTCCTATTAGCGCGATTAATTTTTCGCTTACATATGTTGAACATCAATTAAGCCATGACCTATCCTAACTGAAACTGAATTGGTCTAATTAACCATCTGCTGGTATATTAAAGATGATTATTCCACATGGCACAATTATCTCATATTTGCGAAACTCTATTGTTTCAATTTACGTATTCGTTATATTCTCGCTAATAAGAACCACCATCACTTGCTGAATAATTTGCGAATTAAATCCTATTTGAAATTATTAACCCACTTTTAAGCCATCTGTTGAAAAATAATTATTTAAATGAACGTCCCTTGAATGTCATGAACGTCTCATGAAAAGCCTTTGCGTTAGTTATTTGTGTAAAGAATAAATATTTCTGCTTTCTTATAAGAAGTTGAATAGGTAGATGCAATATTGAAGATTTTTTTCTTGGGGCGTACAAAAGGAATCCCTATAATATTCGAAGAACATCGTGCTAGGGAAAGGAGGTAGGTATTGTGTGATTTTTTAAGTTTTGGAAGTTCTTGGCTAATTATTGCCTATAGACAAACGAGTTTTGGTAGAGTGTTGTTCGACATATTTGAATGAAAGGATGTGCTGACTGGGTTTGTCGGTCCTGGCTGTTATTGCTAGGGATGAAATGATAGCACAGATTTCCCGCGGAATATTGAAGAGTGATTAGTCTTAAATGAATTATATAACTCATTCTCGTATTTTCAAGTATTTAATGATTAATTAAATGAAGTGCTGTGATTGGCTGCCTGATCACCAATCACAGGTTGCTTGATGCCGTGATGCCGGTCATGATTCTCTCAATATATATCTACTCACAATGAAGAAATTGTCAAAATTAGTCGTTTGACCTAACAAAAAATCGCAAAATAGCGATGATAAAAAAAACTAACGGTATGAAAATGATGCCATTACGGTTCTGGTTATATCAGTCTTTCATTTGATGCACGTACTGAGTGTACAACGTAGTACAACTCTCGTGTGGTTATTCAATATATTGATTATCTTTTGATATCATTTTCACGATTTGTATGCTCATGACAATTATGGCAAATCAATAAAAAGCTACCTCAAAATCATCCCACCTTCAATAATATATAAGATTATTCCTACTAATTTGATTGGTTGAGACTAAAATTGATAATTTATATTGAATGTCAGAAACATGAAAGAATAATCATTGTTATGATGTTGACACAGAAGCTGACAAAATTCAACTCTAATGGCAACATTTCGTCAGCATTCACCATCATGAGATGAATGTATATATCTACATACATTTTTTTAATGATCTAAAACAATTCTATTCATTATGGATCTCAGTGAGAAATTCTATCTCATCATTTTGAAGCACTAAGCCAAACTAGTTACTGTCGCAAATTCCAGAGCTATATACATTTTTCAAATACTTAGTTGTATTTCGTGATATATCATAACATAAAAAACGCGGGACAAGGATTGACGAAATTTTACCGCGATCAATCCAACGCAACTTATATGTATTTGATACGACTAATATATTGTGTTGGAATGGAATGTGGATATATTTTCATTGGTTATTGAGAAATATGCCACTATTGGTGCTTATCGGTATATCACATCATTAGGAGCTAGCATTTTTGAGAAGTGATTATTTTAATTATTGAAAAAAAAATTGATGACTTTGAATAATGAACACTAACCATTTGAATTATATGCTTGAACTTACAATATTCTTAGTTTTTGTGATATCATATGGGTAAGTTTCGCCACTCCATCTTCGGTTTTACATGATATCCTGACAAAATGATCTTCATCAATGGAAGCATCTTCATCTTGACCTAAATCACTTTTGTTGAATACAACTAAACATTGTTTAGTGAATGATATATTTTCATCGCTGGCATCAATCAGATTGGATATTTTTAACTTATCCACATATTCCTTCAAATACTTATTAATGCCTCTCTCCTCATGTATTCTTTTCCAATTTCGATATTTCTCCATATCAACAACAAGAATAACCAAATTTGATTTCTCATATAGTTTCAGTGCCCTCTCAATACCTTCCTTCTCAATAATATCTTTGGTGCTTGATCGCAGACCTGCAGTATCTGCCAACACTAAAGGGTAACCGTGTATGTTCAGTGTAACTTCTAAAACATCTCTAGTTGTTCCTTCAATGGGAGTTACTATGGCTGCAGGCCTTTCACCTAAAAAAGCAACAAGCACAAAGCGTTCATTTTCCAAATTGTTTAAAAGATAAGATGGTAAAGTAAATGGCCACGATGTACCGTGTACATATTTGATACGCTTGTCTAAATTGCATGACCAAACGACGTACTAATCGCATGAAGGTATTTTGACTAAAATGTCCTTGGACTAATGTTACCAACATAGTTCTGATTTGGAAATTATTTTGAGGTTATGATATACAACTCCACTTGTATATATATGTCGGCGTCAATTAGTGAAATCCGTCATTCCTTGAAATGCATAGTCATTTCACGTATTGTCGGCAAACAGCGTAACTTCCATTTTTAGCCGTTACTATGTTTGCCGGAGAGTTGAGGAAGGAAAATATCCTATCTGCATATGCGAAAGAAGGGAGACTATTTTTCCGCCGAAATGAACCTTCTTCCTAGAAAGTATATTTTTCAGAAAATTACTTGAGAGAACAGAAGAGACTACTGCTTCTAAACAACCTAAGCTGTCTCGGCCTAAATGAACCTTCTTTCCGTCATTACAGGAAATGTCTTAAACTATTAGGCAAACGGTGTACGAAATTTAGAGTTACGCTGTTTGCCGGCAATAAGTGAAATGACTAGGCATTCCAGAGAATGACGGATTTCACTGTTTGTCGCCGACATATACATTACATAATGAATGATCCTTATTTGGCAAATGGGCAATTTGAACATTACCACAAATCAGATGATTGTGGTTGAGTATTTTTGAAGAATCATAAATTATAAAACATTAGAAATTTGGTTCTTACTCAATACAAAATTATAATATCAGAGTTAAACAAAAATGTTTGGTGCCAAACCAAGCTGGTGCCTCTACCAAGTTTTCAAGTTAATATGTCACTGACAAAAATATTTAGTTGAATTATGAAATTATAATTATCAGCCAGCTAACCAAAAACGAAACATGGTATGAACGTGCAAGCAAGTAGGCCAAGATTCGTCAAGTAGGTACAAGATATTGAAGTATTGATGAATAACTTTTGATGAATGAAATAACATCAAGTACAAGTAGTGACGAAGGAATGTTCGATGAAGATATTGGTGTTCAACTTGATGAGTGAAATAAATATCAGGCGTCTGTCATGTGTTGGTGTATAAATAACTCAGAAACGAACTATTTTGTCGGCCGTTGGTCTTTCATTTTGACACTATTGGTGTTTATCAGTACATCATGGCATCGAGAGCTAGCATTCTTGAGAGGTTATTGTTTTCATAATTTGAAAACAATATTTCTGATTTTGAAATTTGAATTTTTTAAATCTCTTGGAGCGCACGAAACGAAATTCCTATAATAACAAACAATATATTTGAGGCGTAAATTCAACTAGTGCGTATACAACTCCATGGATTAGTGAACATACCAAATTTATAGGAATTTCAGACCAATCTTACACTTATTTTTAGTTCAAAAAATGAAATATAATAGGTACTTACACAATAAATTCAGTAAACTGCTCTTCCCTACATTGGGTTCCCCTAAGATAACTGTTTTCACCCCATTTCTAAGTATCTCCCCTTTTCTACCATCTGCTAAGTGCTGTTCTATATCTCGTGCTAAAATATGGATATCTTTGGCAACGTGTTCAATCAGATGGGGTTCTAACGTTTCTGTCTCTCCAAAATCAATATGAGCTTCCACATGAGCAACTCCATTAGTCAATGTTTTCTTCCATTTATTATATAACTTGCTTAAGGAACCCTCTGTTTGCAGGTATGCCTGAAATTGCAGGTATTTTGTCAGTAAATACTCGGATAATAGGGATGATGTATAGTTTATTACAGATGTTGCACGAAGCCGGTGGAAAGAATTGAAATATCTTACCATTCAACATTATAATACCTAGCCGTAGCTGTTTTGTCCTATAACAGGATAAATATGGTGTCTCTCGTGAAAAAGTGGGAGTGACATAAGATTCAACTTGTCTATTGGTTGGTTGAAAACTCAAAACCTCGCTCAAAACATTCCATTTTCACCTATCAAAATGCATAGAGCCTCTATTTCAGAATCAGAAATTCATTGGTGAAAGAGCACGTGTGTAAATAAAAAAGTACCCAATTCGATTCAGCTTGTTGTGCACTTTTCATATATGTAAGCAAATTATGGAAATTCGAAAATACTTTTTGATGCCCAGAATTTTGATCAATTTTCGTTAATCTGGATCTGGATTTTTCTCGTGAATGATAGGTGAGTCGCTTGGGTAGAAGAAGGCGGACTTGTGTACCAAATTCCAAAAAATTTTACTAGGTGTCCTCACAAAGAGTTGAACAAAATTCATAAAACACCCTATATCTCGGATATAAAACTTGTAAGAACAACCTTGATGAGCTCTACCCACCGATGAAATTTTTCCGTTTCCCAATGGGACACCCTGTATTCAAGGATAATACAACTACAGACTGGTACTGGTACTGGTGGGGGACGTTTGCACGTCAGCAACTACATAGTCCCTAATGGGACCTTTTTGCAAACCCCAAGTGTTTTCAATGACTGATGTGGTTCGCTCAAGAGGGCTGGCTAACATCCTTTTCAGGCACCGCCCATAAGCTCTCTTTCAGAGTTTTTCGGCTGTGTTTTGTAGGCTAGTAATGTACTCACTACCATATGCGCAGTGGCAGGCCTGCTAGCTATCCTTGTTAACCCCCGTTAGAGACCGAGGTCCACTAAGCAGCTGGCCCGCTCTCACGCTCAGCTGGTAGTTTTCCACACCCACCTACATTCACCGTCCTACTTCTTCTCTGATGCTCACAACCACATCATCATCTCTTTCTGTGTGTTCTGTGTAGGCTTTGTTACTAACTCCATGCGCCACTTCAGGAGCACCACTGTTAATTGGAACGCAACAGCGAATCGTGCGGGACTATCCACAGCCGATGCTCCGAAACTTTACAATATTTAATTCGTAAATAAAATCTTGAAAAAAAGGTCCTTGCTCGTGCTGGGAATCGAACCCACGGTCGTGAGACGGACGCTCTTCCACTGCGCCAATCCGTCAATCCCGGCTTATACTACTACAGAAGGCAGTGGCGTAGTTACCATGTGGGACAGGGGGGGGGGCAATAAGGCCCCACGGCGCCAAGGTAGAATAGGCGCCATTCCGTTTCTTCTTCTTCTTTCTTTTTCATTTTGCTCGTTAACACTAGATAATATAAGATGGCCATTAAGAAACGATATGCTGTAGAATTTGAAAGATTTAACTTCATAATTCTAACAGAAATTATTTTGAAAAGTAAGATTAAAGATGAACAATCTGAAGCGACTGAAACCATGTTTCTAAAGTACTTCAAAGTAAAATAACTAATATTGTCGAGGTATATACATTATTTAACCATGCTTATTCATAGTTTTCCTGGCTCCATAATAGTTATGATGAAATTAAATCAGAGAGGCTTTAGAGCTGTCAAAAAAGTTGAACCAATTTACGTAGAAAATATAACTAAATATACAAACAAAAATGTGCAGAATATCAGAGAAAAATAAAAAATAGACTCCTAAGGTTTCAAAATATCGTCTCCCAATAATTTTTTGAACCTTCCCAATTAGTGCCACTAAGTGATCGGGAGTTCACAAGCAAACTAATTACTAATAACTAATATAAAATACAATTATAGAAGTGATTGATTTATTTTTTTGGAAATATTAAAACACTGTCCCAGAATTGTCACACTATGTGCACTGCTCTCTTATTCTTTTCATCACTTCCTGTGATGACAACTTCTGCCGAAAGAAAATTTTCAAAGCTGAAGCTTGTATAAAACCATTTAAGGAGTACAGTTGTGTGCATAGATAGATAGATTTATTGGTGTTATATACTGTTAAGTAGGTACTTACACAAGTCATAAAAAGGTCAATACACTTATACATGTAGCTGGACAATAAACAAATATATAAAACTATCGAAATCATGTACATGTTGAAATAATTTAAAAAAAAACTGGGTCTTGTTCACTTGATCAGTTCTATTTTTATAATACCAAATCATTGAAATTGTTTGTGAGATATTCTCCAATTGAGTAAAATGCTTCTGTTGAATGATATTTTTTAAAGATTTTAATTGAACAATTTAAATTCAAATTTACATTTATGAGTTCTTGTCTGGGAGTACATTATACATTTTGAGGCCGAAGTAACTAGTACCGTCTCTAATCTTTTCAAGGCGATGATATTCAACAATTTACCTCTGTTACGTGTGTCGTAGCCGTAGGAATCTCCAGCTGTTCTATATTCATCCAATTTTTTTTTACATAGCCAACTCATTCGAGGATATAGGCACAAGGAGCTGTGAGTATACCCAATTCTTTTAATTTTGACTTACAACAGTTTCTGTAAGACAGTCCTGAGATGATTTTCACACAGCGTCTTTGAACTCCGAAGACCTTTGATAGGTGGCATGAGTGATCCCAGTTTAGAAGAGCACATGTCATGTTGAATGGAAGTGAGCAAAGTAGGCTGTCATGAGAATATCCACAGATAAGTTATTTTTTAAATTCCTAATCATATAGGTAATGGAAGAGAGTTTCTTGTTCGATTTGTTTGCATGAATTTCCCATGTCAAAAGAGGGCCAATATAAATACCTAAGAATTTCACCGGATCTGCTGGGGTTGTTTCATAGTGACGTAAGGTAAAAAGCAGCGATTGAGTTTTATCATCGTTTGAAGTCAGCTTGTTTGCTGTGAACCAGTTTTGAATTTTCTTATTCTGGGTTTTCACATTAGCTCTAAGAGTATCCAGGTTGTTTGATGAACTGATTGTTGTGGTATCGTCAGCAAAAAGTATGACTGCTATTGATAATATGATGGGATAGATCATCTACATATATTACAAGGAAAAGAGTAGGGCCCAAGATTGAGCCTTGGGGCACCCCATGTTTCATCCAGACTACTAGAGACATAACTGTTATGTGTGACATATTGTTGCCTGTCAGCTAGGTAAGATGACATTAAGTTGAGAGATTCTTACGAAAACCAAATTGGCATTTATTGAATAGGTCATCTGCTTCAAAATATTCAGTTATTTGCGATTTAAGAAGTGCTTCAAATAAACAAGTCGTACAAGGTTTGAATAGTATTAACCTGCCTATGATGTTCCAGATTTCATTAAAAAGTAGTACACGTACACATTTGCGCGTTACTGACAAACATAGTTTGAATTTTGACACTACTTGTCAAAGTCGATAAAAAGATTAATCAAGATTCGCAAGCCTGACTCATAGTCTATAACTGCTGTACGACTTGCTTATGCACACAACTGTACCATGAGCTAGGCAAGGCTAAATAGCCTCTAGCAATACCGGGTATAGAGAATGAATTGTCACAAGAAATTTTGATCATAGAATCGGTCGGTTTGCTTTAATTAAAAATCGAAGGAAGCATTTCTAGTGTTTTATTGAATTTATGAATTTTCAAATCACGTTTACATCAATACATTTAATTGTGTTACCCTCGTTATATATTTTATTTTGCTTAAAATATAAAAATAATAGTATATACGTTTTAAACTATGTTGTATTAGTTTTTTATTAGTTTCGGTATCGCCCATAATATTAAGGCGCCAGCTGATAGTTCTGCCCCCGGCGCAACTATTTCTAGCTACGCCACTGACAGAAGGGTAGCTCATTCCCATAAGACAGCATGTTAGCTTGTCGATGAGTGGATATGACGTCACTAACGAACATCACTGACAGCTGTTTATATGTAAATTGCATTAAGAATGCATTTTTCGGCAATTTTCAACAGTTGGACCATTATATCGAATACCACTATAGGAATTATTCCCAGTATGTATGCAGAAGCATGTCCTATTGGAATAAAGAATTAAATCAAGCTGTTTCTCACAAAACGATATCTCTTTATGAACTTATTATGTTCCAGCAGTGTACTACACACATAGACCTACTCCATCATTCTATCGATAACCCAAGGAAATATGTCATATCTAGTGATATTTGAAGCCTTATATATCACCAACATTCACAAACAATATTTATTTTTACTTTCCTATTCTCGAGAGTTGATATTCTTCACTTATCATTCTTGAAGACTGCTAGCAATATGCCGACCGCAGTCCGTTGTATCATCGCATCGTTTGATAGCGCAGGGTACACATTCTCTCGGGATAAATTTCAACTGTTTGTTATGAATTCTGTATTAAAATGAGGTAAATATATTTGCACTAAGGTATTTCGATACTGTAGATGGTTCAAATTGTATAGATGACATGAATCAGGCCCAGTCAGTAGGTACATCCTTTTGTTGTCAACCTTGACATATTATGTCGAACAACACTTCTATGAAGCGGCAAAGCTTTGGAATTCTTTGGCAAAGAAAGTATTCCCAAGAGCTTATAACCCCCAAAAGTTCAAAAAAATTCCAACACCTACCTCCTCTTCCTATCCTCCCTAGGTACGCATGATGTTCTTCGAACATTATCGGAATTTCCTCTCGTGCACTCTAAGAGATAAAAAAATCAATGAAGTCTTATTACATTTGATTCCCCCCGTAAAGACGCTGTAAATCAAATGAGTACAGCTTTTAGCGGTATGGTTTTGATCTGGAAATATCCAACGCCCAACGGAGAGTGCGCTTACTGGTATACATATAATTCTTTTAACTGTGACAATACTATGAGGTTTTTTCCTAATCTGATTTCATAAAAAATCTACCCCTTTTTAATTCAATAAAAATACACGCCACAGTCATTGCCGCTGCCACTTGAGACC